TGTATTATTAACAAGTCCTTACATAGTTTTTGTGTATTAGTCACGATCAGGATTTCATTGATACAAGCTAACATCATGGTGTCATATTTTTTCTCGTAGATTGGAGAAGGTGACTGAGTGATATGTACTCATTTTAGAAAGTTGAAACCTACACAGGTATTTCTAGCATGTAGAGGTAATTTGTTAAGGTACAGGTAGGTCTTATCTCAACAACTCTTTTCTTTTCCTCTGTGGCCTAACACCATCTTAATCTCGACCCTCTCTGTGCGACTCGGTTTCTTAACACTGAGCTTGGACTTCTACCTTACTCCTGACCCTCTACTGACCTGCCTCTGGATATGACCTCTGAAGGCGTGGTTAAGCCTACGGTCCTGTCCCAAGTCGTATTTTCAAGAACCAATGGATCTTCACTTGTATTTTTGATCAGGCCTTCGCCGTCAGAGTCACTGTGTGGACGAACATGTGAAGCAAAAAGTAGTTATCATCTCAGGAGACTTAGGACAGTAAGTCTTCTTGGATGAGGGAGACAAGAGCAGGTGGATGAGGCCTATTCTCAAAAATGATGTAAATTTGGGCGGCTTGTTTCTGCTAGTTGAATGGCGAACATGTACTGCAAGTTTAGTTTCTTAGGGAATGTTGGTGTGTGTGAGATTAGATTAATTTAGATATGAAATAGTTTATAAGTTGTCACTTGAGGTCTGCTTCGACTGGGGTGAAGCGCCTTTTAATGAAGTAAATAAGGATGTTGAACATCACAAACAAATATGTACATAAAAATGGCATAGTAGTAAATAATTCAAAAATCAACTAAATCAAATAGAGATGTAAATGAATCAAAAATATAAATTACAGAGCTGTATCTCCATTCATTATATCATCTGAAAGGAAACTGGCATTCATATAGCATCATCAGATTGATTGTAAACAAATTCACTATAATTGGAGTTTAATCATATCACTAGCGGTGCAAATACAAACAGACCTTATAAGCATATAAGAAATCACAAACACTAGCAAAGGAAGCACAAAAATGACGATTTGAGGACGATCAGATTCCGCTTCGGGCTAGAAGACGAACGAAATTGGAATCTAATCTCGCTAGAAATGTCACAGTTGGCGGCGTCCTTTGCTACTGTAACTGTGCTTCATTTCACTCTAACACACGCTCACAAAAGGGACGACGCAGTGACTGAGTTGGGTTCCTTTTACTGGCATATGTTACTTTTTGGCAAGAAGGTCGTCATACCTGTACGATTTTGACGACCTGTTGTGGCTGTTGCTGTGGCCCACGGTGGTCGTGCGCGTGTCCTTAGAGGAGCTCTTCTTGGTCCACGGGCGCCCCGTCACCGCCTCCCACACCGCCTCCGCCACCTGTCGTTGCGGAAGTTCAGTTACTTCTCTTTGACGAAACACATATTTCTGAGGTAATTATCTAACTGAAAGAGATACTTCTACAAAGATACGGAGACAAAAGCAATGACAAAAGAAATATCGGGACCAAAATGCTCGAAACGCGTAATATGAAACTTTGCCTTTCGCTTCATGTCGAAACCGATGAAGATAAATGCTCCCTGCAGGCCGTTGAGAACCGTGAACGGATACCAGCACGCGGGGATATCCGCGAACGCCGCTATGAATCCGGTGAGCCACGTGAGACCTTGGATGACTCCTAACTTCATGTAGAGGATCAGTCGCCCTCTGTCCTTCCTGGCGCGTCGGGCTTGCTGCAGGAAGGACAAGGAGAGCTGAATGGATGTATGAGGTGAACTGAATGCATGGATGAACATTTGAGAACAGTGACTGAGATAGTCGATTTTGTGGACAAGCGCGTTTGTGCAATGCACTGTATCCTACCTGGGCTGTCTTCCTCGAAACGCCGTCTCTCAGCGCGTCAGACTTCCTCCTGGGCGCCTTCTCGCCGCGCCCTTCTCTGGTGCTCTGTGACCTCACGTTGGCGTAGCGCGCCGCCTTCATCTGCTTGTAGATGCCGTAAGTGGAGATGAGGAAGAGCACGACGTTCTCCTGGACGATGGCGCCCACCGGCAGGAGGAAGAAGAGCGCCAGGCCGTGGCGGTTGTTGATCCAGCAGAGCCTCGTCGCGTACTCCGGCCGGTAGTCCGGCAGGAGGTCGACCCAGTCCAGCAGGAGCGCGAGCGACACCACGAGCGCGGGGACCGTCCAGGCGTAGAGCGAGTAGAGGAGGAAGGTCCGGCCGCCGTCGGAGTCGCCGCGGTAGAGCTGGCTGCTGAAGGTGCGACACACGTCCACGCTCATCACGTTCATCCAGCAGAAGGAGGCGAGCCAGAAGTAGTGCAGGCTGCACGACAGGAACACGCACAGGCCGTACACGTCCGTCTCCCTCGTCCCCGCCAGGAACAGGACGTGGGCGACGAAGAGGCAGCACGAGAGCGAGAACAGGTTCTTCCCCGGCAGGTTCCTGTGTCGCGGGACGAGCATGAAGACGGCCATGTGGAGCGCCAGAGCCACGAGGGAGACGCTC